AAGTATTGCTGTAAAAATCCTGACTAATGGATTTGTTTCTGTTGAATGGTTAAACTTATCCTTTATAAGTCTGACTGGAATCGTTTCAAGCCTTGTGTAATGATTCATTCATTTATTCAAACATTTCTGAAGGTCCACTAGATTTTGAGAAGGTCCACCAATAATTTTTGATGAGTGGACCTGCGGTCCACCAAGGTAAAAAAGCTAGTGACAAACCCTGAAGAAGCTGAAAATGTTCAAATATTAACACACGACGCACATTATGCATGACGACAGATGAAAACAGATAGCAATAGGTCACCTGAGTTTACCCAGATGAGCTAAACATAGGTAATCAAAGATTACGAACCTCACCTCAACGAATGTTATTAGTGTAAGTAATGCAAATCTCACACCATATTTTCTTAATATCTAGTATTTATACCAACAACAATGTTCTTGCAAGTTGTGATTAACCCCTTACAGGGCATATACATATTTCTACGCATGTAGCGTGAAAAACATGTATAGTGTAAACAAATATTCATAACTTTGTTAATAATGCAGGTATCAAGGACTTCAAGTTCATTTGGATTAATCTATTCCCAAAACTATAACCTGGTCTCTTGTTTGGAAAATATAAGTCAGATTCAGAATGCGAAGCAAGTCTGGTAGTGTCCATCCATAGATGCATCATCCATGCAAGTTTGGTTCAGGTAGGGCTTACAGTTACTTGGGAATGAAAATAATCTGAAGCAAGTCTGGTAATGTCCATCCCTAGATGCATCATCCATGCAAGTTTGGTTCAAGTAGGGCTTACAGTTTATTGGGAATACCCTGGTCACTAATCTGGAAAATGTAGGTCAGATCCAGCATCCGAAGCAAGTCTGGTAGTGTCCATCCCTAGATGCATCATCTATGCAAGTTAAGTTCAGGTAGGGCGTATAGTTACTTGGGAATGAAAATGTAGGTCAGATCCAGCATCTGAAGCAAGTCTGGTAGTGTCCATCCCTAGAAGCATCATCAATGCAAGTTTGGTTCGGGTAGGTCTTATAGTTCCTTGGGAATAAAAATGTAGGTCAGATCCAGCATCCGAAGCAAGTCTGGTAGTGTCCATCCCTAGATGCATCATCCATGCAAGTTTGGTCCAGGTAGGGCTATAGTTACTTGGGAATGGACCTGCTCCAAAACTTTAACCTGGCCACTCATCTGGAAAATGTAGGTCAGATCCAGCATCCGAAGCAAGTCTGGTAGTGTCGATCCTTAGATGCATCATCCATGCAAGTTTGGTCCTAGTAGGGCTTATAGTTACTTGGGAATGGACCTGCTCCAAAAACTTTAACCTGGTCACTCATCTGAAAAATGTAGGTCAGATCAAGCATCCGAAGCAAGTCTGGTAGTGTCGATCCTTAGATGCATCATCCATGCAAGTTTGGTACGGGTAGGGCGTATAGTTACTTGGGAATGGACATGATCCAAATACTTTAACCTGGTCACACATCTGGAAAATGTAGGTCAGATCCAGCATCCGAAGCAAGTCTGGTAGTGTCCATCCTTAGATGCATCATCCATGCAAGTTTGGTCCAGGTAGGGCTTATAGTTACTTGGGAATGGACGTGCTCCAAAAACTTTAACCTGGTCACTCATCTAGGAAATGTAGGTCAGATCCAGCATACGAAGCAAGTCTGGTAGTGTCGATCCTTAGATGCATCATCCATGCAAGTTTGGTTCAGGTAGGGCTTATAGTTACTTGGGAATGGACTTGCTCCTAAAACTTTAACCTGGGACGCTGACGCCAATACCGGGGGTATAGCATAAGCTCATCTCGACTTCGTCGAGGTGAGCTAAAAATGGTGTGGTTATGCAGCCTTCAATTTCTTACTTATTTAAATTAAGGCTATTTAACAAAACAGTAATGAGCTCTTTTGGTGTTGAATATGATTTGTTCTTCACCAGAAAAATATCAAGTTTGACCTCCCCTTCACCTTGGTCAATACTGATTTTTTTTCTGGTGAATAGCAAACCATTTTCAACACAAAAAGAGACCATAATTGCTTAGTATTTATCAGAAACAACTAAAATTATCAGCAACAACAGTAAATATCAGTATTTATCAGCGAGTATCAGTAATTATTAAACATTATTGGTAAATTTCGAGATTCTTGGCACTTTTTTTCATCAGGAAGTGAAGGATACTCTATGCGAAGTATGGCTGAAATTGGTCCAGTAGTTTTGGAGAAGAAGAAAATGTGAAAATTAGTTTACAAAAACGACAACGACCAAAATGACAACAGACAACGGACAAATTTTGATCAGAAAAACTCACTTAAGCCTTTAGCTCAAGCAAGCTAAAAATTGCAGCATTACTCTGTCAAAAATTGCTCGATCATACCCAAAACAGATTTGACCGTAAATCTATAAAGAAAATTTCATTTCAGTATTTGCAACTTAACAAAGAAAATGAACGGAAACTTTATGGACTGACAGACTGACCAACCTACTGACCAACAGGCAGGAGCAGTTAAGCAATATGCCCTTTCTTCTTCAGAGGGGGGCAAAAAAACCAATATCTTACCTGAGAGCCTTCTGGTGTCACTCCACGTACCAACTGAGTATCAATCTGACAGGCTCGATCATGAAACTTTCTTGTTTTGTCTCCTTTGTAATAGGAGTATATGTCTAACAACAAAAGATAAAGCATATAAGATAATGCAATTTATGAATAAGTAAATTTAGAAATATTTCTTATGAATTAGCATAAAATTTAATGATGCAATAGAATTCAACTTGATATCAAATACTTCAAGAATATCTTCAACCAGAAACTAAAACTCTTCAAACCTGACATTGAGAGACCCTAGGGCCTTAGAATTGTTCTGATAAATTGTCAGTCTTCATGAAAACTCACTAGCCCGATGCCCGAGCTGGGCTAGTAAAAATTAGTCTGGGCTAGTAAAAAATGTTTCAGAAGTAGCCTGACAGGCTAGTGAAAATTAAAGCAGGTACTTTCAGAATTTTTGCTTTTAAATTCTTAACCAATGAAAGGCAACATAGCAAAGATTAAACTTTTCTTAAATGCAAATTTAATACATTGATACCAAAAGTAGGGTATTCTCACTGGAAATACAATTGTGATATATGAAAGTAGGCCAGAGTTAAAGTTTTTTCATAAGTATGGAAATCTTCAAGGTCAAGGTCATTGGTACCTAATGAAAGGTCTTGCTACAAAAAATACATCTGTAAAGCATGGAAGCCCTAGCCGTAACAGTTCAGAAGTTATGGCCAAGGTTAAAAAATTTGAAAAAGTAGGTCAAACTCAAAGGTCAAGGTCAAAGGTCTTGCTATCAAATGAAAGGATTGCTTTTTAAAATTAGGTCAAACTCCAAGGTCAAGGTCAAAGGGTTAAAGTTCTTGGTATCCAACAAAGGGTCTTTTCACAAGGATTACATATTTGAAGTATGAAAGCCCTATCCCTTACCATTCAAAAGTTATAGTGTAGGATAAAGTTTTTTCACAAGTACGGAAATCTCCAAGGTTAAAGTCAAAAGGTCAAGGTTGTTGGTATCCAATGAAAGGTCTTTCAACAAAGAATGCATAAGTGAAGGATAAATGTCCCGGTATCTATTGTTTAAAAGATATGGCCAAAGTAAAAGTTTGGAATTTTTGTGTAAAAGTGGGTCAAACTCCAAGGTCAAGGTCAAAATGTCAAATTTGGTGGTATCCAAAGAAAGGTCTTGTCACAAAGAATATACAAGTGAAATATGAAAGTCATAGCTCCCCTAAATCAAAAGTTATGGGTAAGGTTCAATTTTATGCAGAGAAACTGACAGACAGACAGACACAGAGACAGCCAGACAGACAGAGAGACAGACAGACAGATGGACAGACACAACAAAAACTAAATATCCCAAAACTTCATTTACCGGGGCATAAAATGTTAAAACTTCTTGAAAATACGAAGTTACTCTTTGCCTTCGGTGTAAGCAGATTTTCAGATTTAAAGAATTTTCCTATATATTTCTATGTAAAACTTTCATCGGCCATTGTGGCCCCGCCCTACCCCCAGGGGTCGTAATTTGAATAAATCTAAATCTACACTACCTGAGGATGCTTCCATAAAAATATAATCATTCATGCCTTTGCTATTCTTGAGAAGAATATTTTTCAAGAAATTTCCTATATATTTCTATGCAAAACTTTGATTGGCCATTGTGGCCCCACCCTACCCCCAGTGGTCATGATTTGAATAAATCTAAATCTACACTACTTGAGCAGTCAGGGGCATAACTTAAATAAGTTATTTTCAAAAATAACTCAAATGAGTTATTTTTTTGTCTCAATGAGTTACTTCTCTTTGCTATGACCTACTTTCTCCTAACCTTAGTAACTCAAACACGTTATTTTTCCAAAATAGCCTCAATAAAATAATAACTTGTTTAAGTTATTTTGTGTCATTCCTCCCTAACTTCACACCCCGTGCACCAAAGGATTTTGCTCGTGCACCAAGACAAAAACAAATGTTTGACTAAATTTAAACCTTTCTCAATGCAGGAAAAGTGTCCAAAGTCTTGGGAAAAGTGGGGAATTTTTTTTATTTAATGATAAAAATTGGACATATACACCATGTGGATAAAACCACAAAATAAGGTGTAAATGCTGTTTATCTCCACCTCCTCACCAATTCTCCATTGAAGTCGGTGAACTCCATTTAGTATTACATAATGGAATCCCAAAATGCAATGCATATTGGCAGGAAACACAAAATTTCCAAGAAATCAATGTCCAAGTAGGATATAAAAATAACTTATTTAAGTTATTTTTAAAAATAAAATCGTGTGTGTAAAATAACTCATTTAAGTTATTTTTTTAATAACTTGTTTGAGTTATGCCCCTGACTGTTGAGGATGCTTCCATATAAATATGATCATTCATGCCTTTTCTATTCTTGTGAGGAAGATTTTTAAAGAATTTCCTATATATTTCTATGTAAAACTTTGATCGGCCATTGTGGCCCCGTCCTATCCCCGGGGGTCATGATTTGGACAAACTTGGATCTACACTACCTCAGGATGATTCCACATGAGTTTCAACTTTTCTGGCCCAGTGGTTCTTGAGAAGAAGATTTTTTAACAAGAGGCCCATGGGCCTTATAGGTCACCTGAGCATTATGCAACAACTTTCCAGTGGTTGAATTTGATTCATGTTTTTTAAGCCAGATGCAATGGCATTCACAATTTTGAAAGAGGCATGATTGATCATCATAACAATACACTTAGCAGTTGCTTAGTTTGTTTACTCAATACCCATAGGCAGGGTGGGGAACAAAAAACGCATTTCAACTAATCAGTAATTATATTCAGCAATAATCAGTAGTGCCCCTACAACACATGAACCCCTGACCCTTAGGCCTAGATCCACACATTGCACAAATTTTGTAAAGGCACCCTTGCTTTTCAAAAATATTTGATTAATACCAAGGAGCAGATTTCAAACAATTCATTCATTTTCAGTAAATAAGTACAACCCCCCCTTTAGTACCCCTGACCCTGGGGCTTTGAAATTCACAATTCTGCAAGATTAGGGCCCTTGCTCATCAAAACAAAACAGGTAGTTCATCTGCTTAATACCCAGGAGCAGAGAAGAAATTTTTCTCAGATTTAATGTATTTTCACTATATAATCAATAGAGCCCGCCCTAACACCAGAACCCCTGTCCTTATGGCTATAAAATTCACAATTCTGGAAGAGGCATTCTTGCTCATCATAACTATTACTTAGTTCATTTATTTAATTCCTAGGAGCAGAGAAGAAAATTTTCAAAGAATTCATGAATTTTCACTAATACATGTGATTTCCCGGTAAAGTCAAAACATCTTTCTTCACAGTTTTGGATACAAGTTGCAGTTTTCCACAATTATAGACATACTCATATGAATAGAGGTAATTAAGTATGTAAAAATGAATATGATTAACGTCGAAATTAATAAACATAATATGCATTTATACAGTAATCATGCATAAATACCAGTTCGAATTTCCTCGACATGTCACAACAAAGTATAAGACAGTTCATTAGAAATATCGCACATTGTATACAGGAAAACGCAATTAACATTTCACATTTATCACAGCATCATCCATGCAAGTTTGGTCCAGGTGGGGCTGATAAATACTTGGGAACGGACCTGCTCCTAAATATCTGCAAAGTTTGATGAAATTCTGTTCAGCGCTTTAAGAGGAGTTGCACTGACAGAAAAACAGGACTGACTGACTGACTGACTGAGGGACGGGTCAAAAACATTAATATACCTCACACAAATTGTTGCCTGGGGTATAATTAAGTTTTATGCTTCTAGTGACAGATATATTACCCAAAAACGGTGAAAATACCGGTATGCATTCTCTGACTACTTCTGGTTTGGCTGGAAGTGACGTCACTGGACATTTTTTGACAATCTCAATATATTTTACTTGACATTTTAAAAAACTTTGCTTCTTTTATGTATTACAAATAATCAATACATTTAAAGATATTAGGAAAAATCTTCTGGATCCACTTGATCCCTTATTTTAGGGGTCAGCCCTTTTTTCAAAACATCATTTGAAAGATAATGTAATTCTATACTTCTTTTGTTCTTTTATGTTTTAACAAAATATTTCTAGGTAAAAAGATATTGCAGAAAAGGTGTTAGAAAATTTTTAATTCATGATAGGACTATTTTCAGGCCATAGCGAGCATCGGTGTTTTGTACTTCCTGTAGTTACTATAGACACTGTACAAAATTCACTTCTCCAAAGGTTGCACTAGCATCACTGAAAATTTCATACTTCTGTGTTAAGTGCTTATTGAGAAAACTGCCGGACAAAGTGACCCTCTAAAAATCACTAAATTGCATTAAACTCTGAACCGGAAGTGACGTCATCAAAGTAAAAAAAAATGTATATCTAGATTTTTTTGTGTTCTATCAGACCTGAAAGTTTCATGAAAACCTACCAAGCCGTTCTCGAGAACTTGCATGCACAAAATCGGTAAGAAAAAAAACAATAATAACTAGAGCAAAGCTCGTTGCAAAACAACGAGTAGGTCTTCCATCCTGTTTGACCAAAAGTACTTTCAAAAAAAAAAAAAAGAAAATGAGATATGATGTCTCCAATGATTTAAATCCTCCAAATCTATATGGATTATAGCAAAAGTAAGCCATTTTGGCTACTTCCGGTTCAACAGGAAGTGAAATTGATGGACAGAAAATTAAGTTTCATGCTTCCAGTGACAGATATTACTCAAAAGGCCCAGATAATAATGGGCTTAGAATCATCACACTTTGTCAGTTGATTATCCTGGGCTCTCAGAGTGTTTTAACCAAAATCTAGGTCATTATGACCTACTTTTGCAATTTCAAGGCTTTCTTTATATGTACAGGATACTTATAGGCTTCAGATAGAAGTGATAGATTGTTTACAGTTTATCAGAAGAGTGATTCAAAGCCCTTGGGCCTCTTGTTTTATGACCTCACCCCTTATTTGTCCTTTCCAGAGTATCTCCCCTTGTTAGGGGACTTGGTCCTTCATTTTAAGAATAAACTCCCATTCATCCCGGAATACTTTGTGCCAGCTTTGGTTAAAATTGGTCCTTTGGTTCTTGAGAAGAAATTAACAATGTGAAAAGGTTCAGATGGATGGAGTGATGGATATGACAAATAGTTGGACAGACGGGCAATGGGTGATGAGAAAGCTCACTTGGTCTTTCAGCTTAGGTGAGCCCAAAAAGACCATTTGAGCCTTTTGTTTAGGTGAGCCAAAGAAGCTTACTGACAGATCCACATATAGACAGACAATTGAATGTCATACCATTATATGATATAGTCTTAATTATGTATAAAAACCTAAGGTAGCCTTGCATAAAGTTGACAAATAAAAACTTTTTATTGTACTTACATGTTTTTGTTTCCACTTCATAATTATTGATTTGAGAATCACTAATTGTATCTTTTACTCTTTGAGTAACTTTTCCAAACAGCAAACCTTCCTAAACAATATAAGAAAGCAACCATGATAGGACATCACTACTAAGCCAATACATTTTTGGATATTTTGATGAAAAAATAAAGACAACTAGAAACGATCTCGTTGCAAGCAACGAGTAGGTCTTCCGTCCGATTTCTGATAGAATAAGACCTGTGTTGGGATAATTTCATTGATAGGATTAAAAAAACTTTAGATGTTACGAAGGCACAAGAATTCTTCGAAATATGTTTAGAAACACAAAAAAAATGTAGGATCTATCAATTCCAATCAACTTCCAGTTCTTCTATTTCACTTCCGGTGCAACCGGATGTGCTCAAAACGACTTTCAACTCTACATCAAGCATGAAGTAATCATCCCTGAAAGTTTCGATGGAAAATACTCATTTTTAGACAACTTCCGGTTTGAACAAACCATACTTCCGGTGGATATATTACGACGCGACGCACTCTTTAAATCTTTATAAAGAACAATTACATTCATAAAAAAATGAAACAAGAGGCCCATGGGCCTTATAGGTCACCTGAGCATTATGCAACAACTTTCCAGTGATTGAATTTGATCCATGTTTTAAGCCAGATGCTATAGCATTTACAATTTTGATCATCATAACTATACACTTAGCAGTTGCTTAGTTTGGTTACTTAATACCCATAGGCAGGGTAGGGGAACAAAAAATGCATTTCAACAAATCAGTAATATTTAGAAATAATTAGTAGTGCCGCTACCACACATGAACCCTTGACTCTTAGGCCTAGATCCACACATTGCACAATTTTTGAATAGGCATCCTTGCTTTTCAAAAGTATTTGATTAATACCAAGGAGCAGATTTCAAACAATTCATTATTTTTCAGTATATAAGTACAGCCCCCCCCTTTATGGTACTACTGACCCTGGGGCCTTGAAATTCACAATTCTGGAAGATTAGGGCCCTTGCTCATAACTATATAGGTAGTTCATATGCTTAATACCCAGGAACAGTGAAGAAAATATTCAAAGATTTAATGTTTTTTCACTATATAATCAATAGAGCCCCACCCTACCACCAGATCTCCTGACCCTGGGGCCATAAAATTCACAATTTTGGTAGAGGCATTCTTGTTCATCATAACTAATATGTACTTAGTTAGTTTATCTAATACTTTGGAGCAGAGAATAAGATTTTAAAAATATTCATGTATTTTCACTATGTAATCAATAGAGCCCCACCCTAACACCAGAACCCCTGACCTTGGGGCCATAAAATTCACAATTTCAGTAGAGGCCATCTTGCTCATCATATCTATGTACTTAGTAAGTTTATTTAATACCTAGGAGCAGAGAAGAAGATTTTCAAAGAATTCATGTATTTTCACTATATAATCAATAGAGCCCCGCCCTAAAACAAGAACCCCTGACCCTGGGGCCATAAAATTCACAATTTTGGTAGAGGCACTCTTGCTCATCATAACTATGTACTTAGTTAGTTTATTTAATACCCAGGAGCAGAGAAGAAGATTTTCAAAGAAATAATGCATTTTCACTATATAATCAATAGAGCCCCGCCCTAACACCAGAACCCCTGACCCTGGGGCCATAAAATTCACAATTTTAGTAGAGGCCCTCTTGCTCATCATAACTATGTACTTAGTAAGTTTATTTAATACCTAGGAGCAGATAAGAAGATTTTCAAAGATATAATGTATTTTCACTACATAATCAAAAGAGCCCCGCCCTAACACCAGAACCCCTGACCCTGGGGCCATAAAATTCACAATTCTGGTAGAGGCACTCTTGCTCATCATAACTATGTACTTAGTTAGTTTATTTAATACCCAGGAGTAGAGAAGAAGATTTTCAAAGAAATAATGCATTTTCACTATATACTTATTTAGCCCCGCCCTAGCACAAGACCCCCTGACCCCAGGGCCATGAATTTCACAATTTTGGTAGAGGACTCAATGCTGATTACAATCATGCAAACAGTTTGACTGCTTGATGTCCAGGAGTAAAGAAGAAGATTTTTAAAGATTGCATTAATTTAAGTGCTTTTGGCCCCACCCCCCAGGCCCCAGGGGGGGGGGGGGGCAGGGATCATGAAATTCACAATTTTTGTTCCCCTTCACCCATAAATGCTTTGTGTCAAATTTGGTTGAAATTGGTTCAGTGGTTGCAGAGAAGAAGCTGAAAATGTTCAAAAGTTTACGACCGATTGACGACGAACAACGAACGACGAACGACGTACGAAAACAGATAGCAATAGGTCACCTGAGTGACTCAGGTGACCTAAAAATGAAAAAAAATCGGTATATTTAAACTACTTCCGGTTTACAACGGAAGTGTTGACGGAAGAAATGAAACACCCCAGGCACATCTACAGGTCAAGGTATACCATCCCTGAAAGTTTCATGAATTTATCTTCAATCATCTCTTATAAAACTTCCGGACAAAACTTCATTTAAAAAACTGAAAATCGGCCGTAACTCACGACCGGAAGTGACGTTTTCAAAAAAAAGAAAAATGACACCAGTTCATTTTATTTTACATCATTGCTGAAAGTTTCATAAAAATCCATCGAGGCGTTTTCGAGAAATCGTCTGCACAAAATCGGTAAGAAGAATAATAGTGGAAAAGAAACAACAGAATAATAAGAAGGTCTTCCGCTGAAGACGGAAGACCTTAATAATAAAGTACTACAATGGCTGGATCAGGCTTGGTCCAACTGAAAAAAAAAACATAAAAGTAAAACTCATTTAGTACAAACATAGATATTGCAAATTCATGTACATATAGTGCAGCTTTCTTGGAGCCCAACTCTGAAAATTTTTACGAATTCCTTATACAGATGAAACAAATTACCAATATAGCCAAGAAATTTCCCAGTGACTTCATCATAACTGAGTTTAACTGTACATGGATTTTAAAATGATGTTTCATGGATGGATCAAGGAACCAGAAGTATCTGATGTGGCTGTATCTCTACTGGTTTGTACTTATAACAAAGGACACACTTTAACCTTTAATTATAACAGCAATAAATACAAGAGGCCCACGGGCCTAATAGGTTACCTGAGTATTGTGTAACAACTTTCCAACAATTGAATTTGGTTTGTATTCAAACCAGATGCCATGAAATTCACAATTTTGAAAGAGGCACCATTGCTTATCATAATTATAAACTTAGCATGCTTACTCTATTTACTTCATACCCAGAGTATCTTTCAGAGTATCAAAGAGAAAATGCACTTCCACTTTATGTGCACCCACCCCAAAGGAAACACTGACCCTGGGGCCACATATTTCAAAAGTTTGGAAATTTTATCATAAAATGGTTGATTAATACCCCTCCCCGATGTCCCTAACCCAGGGGGCATGAAATATGAAACCATTTTTCTAGATGCACCTTTCTTCATCATAAATATATATACTTGGATCATTAGCATAATACCCACGAGCAAGGGAAAAGATTTTCAAAGAATTACTGTAATTTTTGGATAATAGGTCGATACTTTTTTTCTCAGAACCGCTGGGGTCGCCCAATATACGAATTCGACCTTTCTAAGGCTCAGGTTTACGAAAAATGCCCCAAAATTAATAAAATTTACGTCAATTTAAAGCAAATCTGTGCCACTTTCGTGACTTTTCTGATTATTTTACGCAAAAAATATTAATGCTCTAGTAAACAATGAAATATTTATTCTATATCTTTCTTACAAAATAAATTCCATTAAATATTCGTTGATGACAAAGGAAAAAAACATTGCTGCATCTAGTAAATAATTCCTCAACATATTATCTATTAACATCATGTGGTACCCATCTTGTGAAGTTAGGAAGTCGCGATCGTGTACTAAAAGTTAAACCGCAACCGTATCAAAATTTAACAATCACAACTGAAGTGTATTTACCATTTACAACTAGCAATAAATTAAAATAGTATATTTAATATTTTTTTATTGTGACAGTCTTATATTTATTTAAATGTAAAATGAGTTAAATAAATTGTTGCCAGTCAATGGTCGTTTGCGTGTTTTAGCAAATCCCTGGAGAAGAAAAATAAAAATGGCGGACATCAAAGTAATTGTCGTCCACCGGTAAATAATGTCTGAATAAAATATATTAGGAATGTGTCCAAGTTGTTCTGAAATCGGAATTATTATTCTTTGAACTCGGGTATTTCCCGAATTATAGCTGTAAAATGATAACGTATTTACGTGTTATTTATGCCCCCGGTTTAACAAAAGTGTGAAGCTACGGAGGCATTGAACAGGCAAGTTGGAGAAAAATAAGTAGAAAAACAATTCAAAGAAGATTTAACTAAATTTACATAAAACTTTATTTAAATGCTGTACTCATTAAAATACCAGTTTATTTTCACGATACATTTATGTCATGGAATTACTGCAGTAATTTTTGAGGTTTACATGTTCTGATACGTTGTATCTGCGTAAGATTCTTTCGAAAATAGATAAAAAAGCCTCGTCCTATATAGTAAGTTCGTCCTATCTAAGGATTTTTCAAAAATTAAGGCTGAAAATGAGCCTTTGGACCTATATACCCCATCGACCTTTAATCCAAAAATTACGGTAATGTATTTTCACTACATAATCAAAAGAGCCCCCCCCCCTCGTACATCAATTGGCAAAACCCCCACAGCGGCTATGAAATTCACAATTCTGTTGACATACTGCATAAAAACTCTCGTTTTATTTAAATTCTAATGCAAAATAATCTATATATCTGAGTCTTCTGTATTATTTTATGATGATTATTTTAGCTAACTTCTACATTTATCTGTAGACATTTCCCGGCCGTGATTATACTCGATCAAGAGTGATGGAAAGAGGCATTCAAATTATTTGTAATAGATTAAATTTTCAAAACTAAATAAGTAATGTGCTGTCATAGTTTTTATGGAACAGAGAAATGTACAAGAGAGAGAGAGAGTAAGAGAGAGAGATGCCCCCTCGATTCTCCGATATCTGTTGCATCAAATAAAAATTCTCATCATATTTCCTAAAT